TCAGCCACCATCAGTGGGGAAACAGGTGTAATAAACAAGTTAATTTCCTTTGCAAAAGCAAGTTATAGTGAACCAACCACTTTTGGCCATTGCTCATATCATTGAAAAGGCTGAAATTGAGGGAGTCAAGTTAATTTCCTTTTCAGAATCTGGCTACAAAAGAGAGCAGATGTAAAAAGGCTGGATCTTCCATTAGCTACTAGACTTTCTCCTGTAGCCTGTGTGACAAAACATGCCCTTCCTGGATGAGCCTTTCTAATGATTTGAGAGCCTGAAATAGACACGCAAGACATTCCCAAATGTTCACTCATGAAACCAAGTCCTAATGTATACATCTCTTAGACTTTGTTACTCCATCTATATAATAAATGAGAATGTCACTGTGTCACACTTTTAATTAATGGGAAACAACTCTCTATCTTTCAATAGCTCATTTTACAGAAAAGTTTTTATTACTGTGATTGTTTTTGGCAATTTTTTATGACAAATTTTTTTGTGCAATAACAATTTTTATAACTTGGAAATAAATTAGAGAATAATCAAAATTAATTGCAAAATCCAGTGACTCATGAAATAAAAATAATTATTTGTATGGAAAGTAAGGACCTGCACACATCAAATTGTCTTTAAATTAAGTGGCGACCGAAGAATTAACATTGAACTTTTAAAATGTAAGCTTAAATATTAATACAATACTTAAATGCAGTGATCAATTTTGAGTTCTTCTGTAGTTTATTGTTGCCTATCACATACGACAGTGGTGTGCCTCACAAAAAGAAATCTTTTCCAGCAGAGGACCAGATTGCAATCAAAAGAGCCAAGGTTGCAGCAAGGAAAAGAAAGTCCTGTACAAATGAGAACCCAGATCAAATGGCAGCCAGGAGAGTTCCCAATGCTGAGAATATGTAAAGACTTAGAGACTCTCAAATTCCTGAATGCATCAAAGGCCCAATCAAGTGTTCTCTACAGAAGTAAGCTTAAATGCCATCCCATAGGGTGGCTTTTAAGTCAGTATCTTTCTATTTAGCCACCTATTAACTCATCATACCTTGTTAGTCCAAATAATGTAAATAGTGTACATAATACCTCATCTCAGAAATATAGATATATCTATCTCAGTTCACATCTGTGTCAGTCTGTTCGTATCTATTTACAGCCTGTCTAAAGTTGTTATGCAAATCAAATAAACCTCAATAACGCAAAAAGTTCTGAAGCAATATGTCAAATTTAAACTCATCCATTTCCACCCTCAGTAAATATTTAACTAAATTTTCTGCCATTTTTAATTGTTAATTTTTTTTAATTTTGAGATATTTGGAATTTATGAAAATGGACTGACTGAAGTTATTATGCAGATTAAACTAATATTAGCTTAAGAGGATTGAAATTTAATAAAAATTGTTTTCTTCTTTTTGGTCATAATATATGTTGAAACATGAGTAAATAGAAGGATCTAAAATCTGGTGAAAAAGAGAAAATAACAGAGTTATTGAGTGAGAGAATGTTTACATTGAAAATATCAAAGGAGCTTTGCAGAGATCATCAAACAATAAAATATAAGTTAAAAACTTGAAGCAAAGGAAAAAGCTTTAAGAACTTGCTTCTTCAAGATGAACGTAAACTAAAGCAAGTTATAGTAAAACAACCACTTTTGACCAGCACTCAGATCTTTGAAACGGCTGGAATTGAGGGAGTCAAGAAGGAAAAAAGGTTTAAAATACTTTTTGAATTGGGATCTGTAAAAATCTTCTAGGCAACCTCCTCTCATGAAAGCAAATATTTTAAAGCATCAAAATTAGGCCAAGAAATACATGAAAATTGATTTTTCTAAAGTAATTTTCATGGACGAATCTCAAGTGACATTTGATGGACCTGATGGATGGGCCAAAGGATGGATTTAATCCAGTTTGGATGTGCCTGTGGCTAAAAGAATCAACAAGGAAGTGGTAGTGTTATGATATGGGCTGGAATTGCCAGCCAAACCATTAATGAACCATTCAAAGTCAATGAAGCAGTTAAACTTAACAGTGTTAAGTATTGCAATTTTATGAAAAAGACTTTCTTTCCATGGTACAAGTCTCAGTCTCTCAGTTTCAAAGTGAAATGTGTATTTATGCATGATAATGCTCCTTCTCATAAAAGATTTACAGGAGAGAAGATAATGAGATGGCCACCATCAAGTTTTGATCTGAATCCAATTGAAAATCTATGGTCAATTGTGAAGATGAAATTATATGAAGGTAACAAACAATATAACAGCAAAGCAGACCTATAGGAAGCAATTAAAACTGCATGTTGGAAATTGAACCTTCTGAATTAAAAAAATTAACAAAATCAATTGCTAATAGATTATTGGGCTGTTATTAAGAAGAAGTTTCACTATATTAAAATGTAAAGGATTCAAAAACTTATCATAAATGTTTGTTATTTGTTCTGTTATAGGTGTTGATCAATTTTTGATGATTTTATTAAAAAGTAAATGTGATTATTTGGTTTTGCAATAATGGCAGGTTTTTTTTATTCTAGAATACATCAAATAACATCAATAAAACATATTGATACTACCTAAAATTTTACTCAGGCTTTGTTTTGACATCTAAATTAATTGTTTAAAATTTGACAATTTTTTTCAAGCCAAATTTGAATTATTGAAGTTTATATGGTTTACTTAATAACTTCAAACAGGGTCTATCTATCTATAAATGTAAGTCGCTAGATATGGATATTGATGCATAAAAATAACTGCTACCCTCACAACTAGTTTCCACCTTTTCCTTCAAAGTAATCACATCAGGTATGTTTACAGAAATCTCATCAATTTTACTGTTTATGAAGAGTTAGGGCAAATGTTCAGATTATAGAATATGGTTCATACATGTTTTTCACATTCCTCAAACTTTTGATTACAACCTAAATTATATATCTATGTCTTGACTCAATTTCCTGTATTCTTGTGCCAAATGTTTAACCATTTTGCAGAGAGACTCAGGAAGATGAGTCAGGTCATTGTACTGTTTCTTGATTGTCCACCAGCTATGCTTCCTTTTCTTTTTCATTTAATGAGGATTCACCAATTTACAGTTGAACTGGTTAGATGTGACCATAAATTCTATGCTAACAATTTATTTTCTTGCATTTCTCACTTGTGAAACTCGTTTCCAGTTCCATGCTTTCCAGCCAACTTTGATCTGCAAAAATTTAAATGCAATGACAATTGCTGTCTGCTGTCCTTCTGGTTACTCTTCCTCTTGATCCTTAGCAATTTTCCAATTTCTAACTCCACACCCAGTAACTCCTTGTGCCTCTGTGACTTTACTGCCTTGCTTGGGGTGAACTTGATTAAAAAAAACAAAATTGCTCCTTTGGTAGTATTTTCCTTTTCATTGGTATTTTCTGAGATACATAATAGTGAATGGATTGTTTTTTTAAGAGATTCTATGTCAGGGCAGCATTGGGGAGCAGAATATTGCCTTTATAGCTCATGCTGGTCTTTTTGTAGTTATACACAGCAATGTCATTCCCACTTAAGCTTTTATATATCTGACTGATCTCCAGTTGAACTCAAAGGTGACAGGATTCAAGATTTGAGCACAGAGTGCATCTATTTACAACTAATACCCTTGTAATGTGTTACAGAACCAACAAAGTCTTGTGGTATCATAAGGTATTGCTGGAATGGTCCGAAATAGTAGGAATGATGCTATGGATCTAATATCATGCCTGATTCCAGGATCATCATCTGATGAGCACTTTCTTGGAAGCACTGTTTTGTTGCAGCAGTCATGGTATAAATTTATGCTTTAGAGAAGTTATTTACACTATCTACATATTTGTCTAATTCATCTACTTGGAGGCATGGTTAAGTAGCCGATTTAAATTTGGGGGTTCTGTTGTACATTGTATTAAAGTGATTAGGTGTCCACACTAAGCCTGGCATCAATATGGCTAGCTGATTAGGTTGACTAATGAGGGCTGGTCCAATTGAGGGCAGAAACACAGCAAACAAAAGTCCTTGTGTCAAGCAGTAGCAGGATCACACCTGTGCATAGTGCACTTGTTGCACCCTGTTCAATATAATTGAATCCTCTCCTTTTACTCACATGAGACTGTTGACATAGGTCCAGATCTAGACAAGTTGCAGAGAGGGACCATAATTGGATATTCTAAGTTGTTCTCCTGCTAATAGTTAAACCCAGATGTGACTGTCTTCCACAGACATTTCCACACTGAATTCAGGGCCTCTTTTGCATCTTTAGACACACCATTTCGTTATTGTTGTTATCCCAGCGTTTCGAGCTTTGTACCCTCTGGCTTTCATCAGATGTATATCAATCTAGAGATACCTACAGGAGGAGTTGAAGAAAAGTTGTTGACCCAACAAAAAAAATGGATTTTAAAAATTCTTGTGTTTGAACATTTGACCAAACTGAGAATATTTCAGCTTCCATACACAGAGAGAGAGAGAGAGAGAGAGAAAAAAAAAAAATATATATATATAAGCCATGAAAATCTTGGTAATCCATATGGATAATCCCAAGGAGGGTCAAATCCTGAGAGGTCAGTGTTAAGTCAGAGTGAATAATTTAATTTAAAGAAAAACAGAACACTTTAAGGCTCCATTTGTTATAATTTATTTCACCAGGATTGTAAAAATACATCCTTAAAGTGGTCGGTTTGTCTTTAAATTAATTAATATATATATATATATATATATATATATAATTGCTACCTTCTCATTTCTGTGGTTAAAAAATGAAAAAACACTTTCATAACTAGGACATTGTTATATATCCATTCAATAGTCTGGGTGTTTAATTCACTGAAAAGCAAATCAGAAAAGAAGAATAAATGAAGATTCAGAAAACAGAGCATGATGGGATATGAGATTGTTAAACTTTGAAAACTGTGAACAGGAAAGAATAATGCATTCTGGGAAAAATATGACTGAGAAAGAGTAGAGAGAAAGAAGAAGAAATAAAGTTAGAAAGAATTTTCAGGAATTAATGCATGCTGGTAGAAAAATATGAGAGAAAGGATAGAGAGAGAGAAGAGAGATAGTGGAAACAATTTGATGGAATAATGCATGATAGAAGAAAAATATGAGAGAAGGAATAGGAGGAAGAAGAAATAGATTGAAAGAATTTGAAAGAAGCAATGATGCATGCTGGGAGAAAAATATGAGAGAAAGGATAGAGAGAGAAGAGAGAGAGGGAAACAATTTGATGGAATAATGCATGATAGAAGAAAATATGAGAGAAGGAATAGGGAGGAAGAAGAAATAGATTGAAAGAATTTGAAAGAAGCAATGATGCATGCTGGGAGAAAAATATGAGAGAAAGGATAGAGAGGGAGAAGAGAGAGAGTGGAAACAATTTGATGGAATAATGCATGATAGAAGAAAAATATGACAGAAAGAATAGGGAGGATGAAGAAATAGATTGGAAAGAATTTGAAAGAAGCCATGATGCATGCTGGGAGAAACATATGAGAGAAAGGATAGAGAGAGAGAAGAGAGAGAGTGGAAACAATTTGATGGAATAATGCATGATAGAAGAAAAATATGAGAGAAAGAATAGGGAGGAAGAAGAAATAGATTGGAAAGAATTTGAAAGAAGCCATGATGCATGCTGGGAGAAAATATGAGAGAAAGGATAGAGAGAGAGAAGAGAGAGATTGGAAACAATTTGATGGAATAATGCATGATAGAAGAAAATATGAGAGAAGGAATAGGAGGAAGAAGAAATAGATTGAAAAGAATTTGAAAGAAGCAATGATGCATGCTGGGAGAAAAATATGAGAGAAAGGATAGAGAGGGAGAAGAGAGGAGGAAACAATTTGATGGAATAATGCATGATAGAAGAAAAATATGACAGAAAGAATAGGGAGGAAGAAGAAATAGATTGGAAAGAATTTGAAAGAAGCAATGATGCATGCTGGGAGAAACATATGAGAGAAAGGATAGAGAGAGAGAAGAGAGAGAGTGGAAACAAAATTGATGGAATAATGCATGACAGAAGAAAAATATGAGAGAAAGAATAGGGAGGAAGAAGAAATAGATTGGAAAGAATTTGAAAGAAGCCATGATGCATGCTGGGAGAAAAATATGAGAGAAAGGATAGAGAGGGAGAAGAGAGAGATTGGAAACAATTTGATGGAATAATGCATGATAGAAGAAAAATATGAGAGAAGGAATAGGGAGGAAGAAGAAATAGATTGGAAAGAATTTGAAAGAAGCAATGATGCATGCTGGGAGAAAAATATGAGAGAAAGGATAGAGAGGGAGAAGAGAGAGAGTGGAAACAATTTGATGGAATAATGCATGATAGAAGAAAAATATGAGAGAAAGAATAGGGAGGAAGAAGAAATAGATTGGAAAGAATTTGAAAGAAGCAATGATGCATGCTGGGAGAAAATATGAGAGAAAGGATAGAGAGAGAGAAGAGAGAGAGGGAAACAATTTGATGGAATAATGCATGACAGAAGAAAATATGAGAGAAAGAATAGGGAGGAAGAAGAAATAGATTGGAAAGAATTTGAAAGAAGCCATGATGCATGCTGGGAGAAAAAATATATGAGAGAAAGGATAGAGAGAGAGAAGAGAGAGAGAAACAATTTGATGGAATAATGCATGATAGAAGAAAAATATGAGAGAAGGAATAGGGAGGAAGAAGAAATAGATTGAAAGAATTTGAAAGAAGCAATGATGCATGCTGGGAGAAAATATGAGAGAAAGGATAGAGAGGGAAGAAGAGAGAGATTGGAAACAATTTGATGGAATAATGCATGATAGAAGAAAAATATGAGAGAAGGAATAGGAGGAAGAAGAAATAGATTGGAAAGAATTTGAAAGAAGCAATGATGCATGCTGGGAGAAAAATATGAGAGAAAGGATAGAGAGAGAGAAGAGAGAGAGTGGAAACAATTTGATGGAATAATGCATGATAGAAGAAAAATATGAGAGAAGGAATAGGGAGAAAGAAGAAATAGATTGGAAACAATTTGAAAGAAGCAATGATGCATGCTGGGAGAAAAATATGAGAGAAAGGATAGAGAGGGAGAAGAGAGAGATTGGAAACAATTTGATGGGATAATGCATGATAGAAGAAAAATATGAGAGAAGGAATAGGGAGGAAGAAGAAATAGATTGGAAAGAATTTGAAAGAAGCAATGATGCATGCTGGGAGAAAAATATGAGAGAAAGGATAGAGAGGGAGAAGAGAGAGAGTGGAAACAATTTTATGGAATAATGCATGATAGAAGAAAAATATGAGAGAAGGAATAGGGAGGAAGAAGAAATAGATTGGAAAGAATTTGAAAGAAGCAATGATGCATGCTGGGAGAAAAATATGAGAGAAAGGATAGAGAAGGAGAAGAGAGAGAGTGGAAACAATTTTATGGAATAATGCATGATAGAAGAAAAATATGAGAGAAGGAATAGGGAGGAAGAAGAAATAGATTGAAAGAATTTGAAAGAAGCAATGATGCATGCTGGGAGAAAAAATGAGAGAAAGGATAGAGAGAGAAGAGAGAGAGAAACAATTTGATGGAATAATGATGATAGAAGAAAAATATGAGAGAAAGAATAGGAGGAAGAAGAAATAGATTGGAAAGAATTTGAAAGAAGCAATGATGCATGCTGGGAGAAAAATATGAGAGAAAGGATAGAGGGAGAAGAGAGAGGAAACAATTTGATGGAATAATGCATGATAGAAGAAAATATGAGAGAAGGAATAGGGAGGAAGAAGAAATAGATTGGAAAGAATTTGAAAGAAGCAATGATGCATGCTGGGAGAAAAATATGAGAGAAAGGATAGAGAGGAGAAGAGAGAGAGTGGGAAACAATTTGATGGAATAATGCATGATAGAAGAAAAATATGAGAGAAAGAATAGGGAGGAAGAAGAAATAGATTGGAAAGAATTTGAAAGAAGCAATGATGCATGCTGGGAGAAAAATATGAGAGAAAGGATAGAGAGGGAGAAGAGAGAGAGTGGAAACAATTTGATGGAATAATGCATGATAGAAGAAAAATATGACAGAAAGAATAGGGAGGATGAAGAAATAGATTGGAAAGAATTTGAAAGAAGCCATGATGCATGCTGGGAGAAACATATGAGAGAAAGGATAGAGAGAGAGAAGAGAGAGAGTGGAAACAATTTGATGGAATAATGCATGACAGAAGAAAAATTTGACAGAAAGAATAGGGAGGAAGAAGAAATAGATTGGAAAGAATTTGAAAGAAGCCATGATGCATGCTGGGAGAAAAATATGAGAGAAAGGATAGAGAGAGAGAAGAGAGAGAGTGGAAACAATTTGATGGAATAATGCATGATAGAAGAAAAATATGAGAGAAGGAATAGGGAGGAAGAAGAAATAGATTGGAAAGAATTTGAAAGAAGCAATGATGCATGCTGGGAGAAAAATATGAGAGAAAGGATAGAGAGGGAGAAGAGAGAGAGTGGAAACAATTTGATGGAATAATGCATGATAGAAGAAAAATATGAGAGAAAATAGGGAGGAAGAAGAAATAGATTGGAAAATTTGAAAGAAGCAATGATGCATGAGAAAAATATGAGAAAAGGATAGAGAGAGAGAGTGGAAACAATTTGATGGAATAATGCATGATAGAAGAAAAATATGAGAGAAGGAATAGGGAGGAAGAAGAAATAGATTGGAAAGAATTTGAAAGAAGCAATGATGCATGCTGGGAGAAAAATATGAGAGAAAGGATAGAGAGGGAGAAGAGAGAGATTGGAAACAATTTGATGGAATAATGCATGATAGAAGAAAAAAAATATGAGAGAAGGAATAGGGAGGAAGAAGAAATAGATTGAAAGAATTTGAAAGAAGCAATGATGCATGCTGGGAGAAAAATATGAGAGAAAGGATAGAGAGAGAGAAGAGAGAGAGAAACAATTTGATGGAATAATGCATGATAGAAGAAAATATGAGAGAAAGAATAGGGAAGAAGAAGAAATAGATTGGAAAGAATTTGAAAGAAGCAATGATGCATGCTGGGAGAAAAATATGAGAGAAAGGATAGAGAGGGAGAAGAGAGAGAGTGGAAACAATTTGATGGAATAATGCATGATAGAAGAAAAATATGAGAGAAGGAATAGGAAGGAAGAAGAAATAGATTGGAAAGAATTTGAAAGAAGCAATGATGCATGCTGGGAGAAAATATGAGAGAAAGGATAGAGAGGGAGAAGAGAGAGAGGAAACAATTTGATGGAATAATGCATGATAGAAGAAAAATATGAGAGAAGGAATAGGAAGGAAGAAGAAATAGATTGGAAAGAATTTGAAAGAAGCAATGATGCATGCTGGGAGAAAAATATGAGAGAAAGGATAGAGAGGGAGAAGAGAGAGAGTGGAAACAATTTGATGGAATAATGCATGCTAGAAGAAAAATATGAGAGAAGGAATAGGGAGGAAGAAGAAATAGATTGGAAAGAATTTGAAAGAAGCAATGATGCATGCTGGGAGAAAAATATAAGAGAAAGGATAGAGAGGGAGAAGAGAGAGAGTGGAAACAATTTGATGGAATAATGCATGATAGAAGAAAAATATGAGAGAAGGAATAGGGAGGAAGAAGAAATAGATTGGAAAGAATTTGAAAGAAGCAATGATGCATGCTGGGAGAAAAATATGAAAGAATAAAGAGGTAGAAGGGATAAAGTGGAAAGAATTTTAAAGAAGGAATAATGCATGTTGGAAGCAAAATGTAAGGGAAAGAATAATACAGAAGAAGAGATAGTCAAAAGAATTTTAACTGGTTGGAAAGAAAAAGAGAGGCAAAGAATGGAGGATATGGCAAAGAAGAAAATGATGCAGATGATGAAATCAAACAGATAAAATTAGAGAAGGAAAATGAACTTGAATGACAGATACAGGAGGAATAAAAAGAAATGGAAACATGAAAAGGACCTGGGAAAGAAATTAGGAATAATGATTTGAATAAAGGAAAAAAATTTAAAAAATAGAAAGATGAATGAAAACATGAGAAGGAAAATAAGTAAAGAATATGAAGAGGAAAAAAAAAAAAACCGGAAAAAAATGGAAACGAAAAATGAAAAGTCAAGAAATAATACCAGCAAAGAGAAAATAAATGAAGTAAATAAAAGGAAGGAAGAAATTAAATGAAAATAAGCAAAGAATGAAAAAATAAATGAAAGAATAAAATGCAAAAAAGGTACAGAAGTAAAACTTCATTTGTGTAGATAAGAAAGAAGAAGAAAATGAGAGGAAGCCAATGTTAAACTAGACGAATCAAAACAGCAAAGATGGAAAAATAGAAAAAGATGGCGATCTAATCCTTTCTCCTCCCACCCTAACGCCACAAAATAGAAATGGCACCAAATCAGGTAATAGGTTCAGTCAATTTTTCAGTTGAAACATGTGCAGCAAATAACAAATTCTTGAAAGCAAGAATGTCACTCACTCATAAAAAGACATAATTCGTTAGCAGGCAGAAACTTTTCCCTTGAAGTGAATTCATTGGTTGATGATATGATGATGATGATGATGTCAATAATAATGATGATGATGATATGCATCGTCTTCTCGGCAGGAAGAGGGGAGGTAAGTATTGCAGAACTTAATCCAAGACCACTTTGAACTTCACACATCAAAAGAAAATGCAAGCAGAGTGTGTGTAGCGGGGTGAAGTGTAGAGGTGGGTTGGAGGGGGTGAAATGGAAAAGTGTTTTGAAGGTTGCACTAATGCAGAAGACTTTTAGGTAAGCAGCTTACAAAGGAAGTGCACATTGTTTGTTTGTTTTATCTTTTGTTTCTTCTTTCTTGTGTTTTGTTCAATAACACTTTACATACTGCAACTTGCAGGTACACACACACCCACCCAATATATATGCATATATATATATATATATATATATATATATATGAGCATTTGTATAGATGGATATATATGATTAGTGTTAAATATCTATCTATATATATATATATATATATATATATATATAATTTTAAGCCACAAAATATATGATTATTCACTTATAATAACTATGTATATGTATAATTATGCATAAAACATTAATAAATATGTTTAGATAATTGATTTACATTATTGGATATAATTATAGTCCAGATATATATATATATATATATATATATGTTTTTACATTATTGGATATGATTACAAACTATATATATATACGTGTGTGTATATCTCTATCTATTTATCTATCTATCTATATATATATATATATATATATATATAAATATAATTATGGACATTATACATGCTTATATATATAATATAAAAATGTATATCTAAATAATAGTGAGCATTGCTGACACATTTGGTCTGGTGCTTTTGACAGGTATCTTAAGTTTTTTGACAAAATCCAAAGAATAATCTAAAATATTATCAGTCCTGACCTGGCATCTTGCCTTCAATCACTTTCCCAGTGCCATGATATAGTGTCACTGTGCCTTTTTTTAATAAATATTTTCATGGCAGTTGTTCTGATGAATTTCAATAGCAAAATAATGTGACCTAACTGCCAATCTAGTACTGCACAAATCCATGAAGTTGAGGTACCAAAGTGGAAAGCTCATCAGAATAATTATCTTTAGTAAATATGAATTTATATGAATTGAAAGGAGAATGAGTGAAGATGTTTACACCATAAGAGTATTGCAAGTAATACTAATAACATCTTTGTCCCAAAATGTTAAAAATTGTTTTCTAACTTCAGCTGAAAGCATCAACTTCAGCAACTGCTCATTCTTGTAAATCATAAAATCAACTTAGATTTGTAAGGATGGAAAGGAAAAAGGAAGGAAATATAATTTCTTTCTATAGATATGCATTAATTTATACATTATCACACTAGGGCATGTCGATTATGAAATCGTTGTATTGTACTCAATTTGAAATTTGGGATTTGACATGATAAATAATGGCACAACATACTTTTTCACAAATCATTACTGTTTTTTAGGAAAAGAGTTTATATGATTAAGTTTAGGTTCCAAATCACAGCATTGAAATTTCATTCAAATGATCAGTGAAAACCTTATGGCATGGCCTTGCAAAATTTATAATTTACTAAAGTTTTACAAGTGTTATATAGACAAGATGCATGGCACAAGTTCATTATTACTAAATCATTCTGCCATCAGTTAAAATCTTCATTTACTTCAAAGGGAAATTATACTGAACAATTTAGCTATATTATGATGTAATATGTTACACAGGACAGTAGTTTTAGTGTGTTTTTCAACAAACAATGCAAATTTAGAACATTTTGTCTTTCAATTTATGCCCAGCAGTATTACGGTGTTATATACATTTTAACCTATTTTTTGATTTTTATTTATTATGTTCTATCAAATGATCAAACAAATCTGTTTTTTACAGTTTTTTTTACAATTTTTATTTATCGAATACAATAAAAAAATGCGTATTTTGCTTGTAGTGATTCCTAATTAGAATTCTGATCTGAAAATATTTTCCATTCAGTATTTCTAATACAAAAAAATATCAACTTTATTTGGAATATTAAAATTTTGAATTCAGTTTGTAAACAAAAACCTGCAGAAATTAGGTATTAATGCACATTTTTCCAGACGATCTTTAAAACTAAATACTCAAAAATGAATCTAATCTTTATTTTCGGTACTTATCACATCGAATCCCCGCTTTAACACTCATTGCAATACTAATTTTCTAAAAATGTGAATAAACAACCTTCTCTATTATCACATGCATACAAAAATTTGCATTCACTTATATATACTTATATATAGTGACACATGCAAAAGCAAAAGTACTAAAAATGAGGCAACATTACCTGCAGAATTTGACTCAGTATGTTTATAATATATTTATAATATGTTTATATGATATGTTTATAATATGTTTATATAATATATTTATATAATGTTTATATGATATGTTTATAATATATTCATAATATGTTTATGATATGTTTATAATATATTTATATAATGTTCATATAATATGTTTATAATATATTTATAATATGTTTATATGATATGTTTATAATTTGTTTATATAATATATTTATATAATGTTTATATATGTTTATAATATGTTTATAATGTTTATATAATGTTTATAATGTTTATATAATATGTTTATAATATGTTTATATAATATATTTATAATGTTTATATAATGTTTATAATGTTTATATAATATGTTTATAATGTTTATATAATATGTTTATAATATGTTTATATAATATTTATAATATGTTTATATAATATGTTTATATATGTTTATAATATGTTTATATACCGTTTATAATATGTTTATATAATATGTTTATATAATGTTTATAATATGTTTATATAAGTATAATATGTTTGTGATTCCTTAGGATCCATTCATGATGCATACTTTTTGATTCATGATTTGTTTTTTAATCATTTCACCCCAAGCAAGTGGTTTACAGGGAGTGAAAGTCAATTAGAAAGCTTTTGTGAGGAAAACTGACAATTGTCCACTTTGACTGAATTTGTCCACAATACAATTTTCCACTCTTTCAATGTCTATTTATCAGGATTCACGAAGACAGATATCGTGTGGTGTTGCATTTAAATTTTTGAAGATTGTAGGTTGCACGAAAGCAGGAAATTGGCAGGGAGTTCTACAGGTGAGAAGTGTGAGAAAATAAATTATTAGAATAGAACAGATGATTGCATGTAGCTAGTTCAGCAGTAAAACTGTGAGACCTAGTTGCCAATCAAGTAGCACATTTAAATTCATGCAGTCAAGGCACCAAGGAGATAAGCTCATCAGAAGAATTGCCATGAAAATATTGACAGTAGGTTGCCATTATTCTCGTTGGTAGACAGTCCTGCTATTTAGCCCATAGTAAGAGATGGATTCTTAACTTTCCCAAGGGTATTTGTACATAGGGGAATCTAAAAAACTTGAATGGAATTGGAACTCAGCTCTCTGATTTTTTATTCTGAGCATTTATCTTTTACACCACTCACCCATCTCAGTATTGACCAGATTCAGTATTGTTTAACTTTGGTGATCAGATGGTGTTAATTTGGGGCAGACATGAGTGGCATATGAAAGCTGTGCATACACACATGTGATTAAAAAATATGATGGCAGGAACTTAATCATGGTAAAAGAAATTTGTGTCAAATCTTATCACAATTCACTGCTTGTGTCACTCAATGCATCAGTCAGCATAAACTGCATTCTGTTTGCATTTCTTACTCACCATCTACTAGGGATACCATTATTAAGACCTTGGGGATGTGCAGGTAGTGTAATGGCTAGCAGCTCAGAATGGGAATTTGATTTCCTGTTGATTTCATTACATTCACTTTCACGTAAGTACTCTTGGGAAAGGTATGAATCCATCTCTTCTGCCTTCATCTATGGATTAAATAGCAAGACAGGTTGCATCCTATAGTTTTGGATAGCAACCAGTCTACCAAAGAAAATAATAGCAGACTACTGTTGAAATTCTTCTGCCAGTCAGACTGAGCTCTTCAGCTGTGATTGGCAGCCACTCTAGAAGAACACCTCTGAATTTAAAATCACTTGGGCAGAAGGCTAGCAACTCCATCCTACTAGCTATGTACATCACAGCAGCAGCATCTGGTGTGCTGACACTGTGCCACCATACTCCACAGTTGAAGTGTACAGATTTTGAGTAAGTATTGACACTCTGGCATTAGTTACTGTGGGTCACCTGAGTGATAGATCCTCACTGTTTAATCATGTGGTGTGCAAAGCACCTCCATTGTACACCTAATACAAGGCCCACAAGTAACTCAAGGTAGAGGATTACTGAATGAGTAAGGACTGAAAGGGAGGAAGCAAGTTGTATATATGTAGAGGCTATGTAGACTAGAATTGAAGAGGTTAAGTTTGTAGTGATTAGGGAAGCATCCTCTTGGGAACCTAACATCTGAGTGAATGCAATATGAAGAGAATAAGGAGAAGTTAATCCTGTGTATCTAACATGACAGACCCTAGCTGTGAAGGTCTGAACTGGTGGAATGAAGGAATGTAGCTCATCTGAACATTTGCTATGAAAAGAGTAGTGAGAGTTGAGTATTGCAAGGCATTTATGGAAGACAACTTTAGAAAGGTATGAATTAAATAGCAGAACAGACTGGAATTTCTAGCCATGTTTGGCAGTCAGTCTAGGAGAAGAATTCTAAATTTAAAACTATATGTGACCCTCATGATAGAGATACCTTATACAAAATCTCTATTTGAAGTTGACCAAGATGTTGTATAAAAATGACTTTTTGATCAGGAGTTGTACAAGGATGCATATAATGGATTATGTAACTATTGCATTATTTAGATAATATATATATATATATATATATATATATAAATATATAAATTTCAGATAGAGTATATCTGTAAAATTACTTTTGTCTTTATTAACACACACACACACACACACACACATATACAGATATATATGATAAAATATAGTTTTAAGATATGCTATATTTATGGGTAAATGTGCTCAGTATCAGGTAGATTTTTCATCAATAGAAATGATGTTCGATGAAATCTGTGGCTTCAGAAGGGAACTACATTGAAGGAGATTTAATTCTGAATTGGTACATGTTGCAGCTTTCTTTTTATAACAACAGTCCTGATACTTTTTGATCAGACCTTATGTGTGTGTTTGTGTGTGTGTGTGTGTGTGTATATATATATATATATATATATATATACACACATACACACACGGTGGGGGGGGGACAAATATTCGTGCACCCCTCAAATTTGTTATATTTCCAACTAATGAATAAACATACTTTTCATATAAGTAACTGTACACAGGTGCATAATAAATAAATGAGGCATAGAAAACAGAAAAAATTTGATTTAATAGAAATAAACCCCATTTATCCATTTTAATGGGTGAAATAATTATCCGTACGATACAAAAAAAGAATACATAATCTCATTTAATACTTTGTAGAATAGCCATTATTTAATTCTACAGCAACCGACCTCTTCTTGTAGTTCCCAATTAATGATTTCCAAATTTAAGTTGCTATTTTGTTCCATTCTTCAAGATTTTCAACCAAAATCATTAAATTTGCTTCCAAAATATTTTGATATGCTGTGGCATTCATTCTATCTTCTATTACTGATATGTTGCCAGTACCTTTTGCAGAAAAACATCCCCAAACCATAATGCTGCCACTACCAAATTTCACTGCTGGAACTGTGTTCTTTTGCTTGAAGGCATCGTCATCTTTCCCCCATACATGATTTTTAGAATTACGTCCAAACAACTCAAATTTGGTTTTGTCAATTCATAATACGCTTTCCAATACAATTTGTCCTTATCCTTATGTTCACAAATAAATTTCAACCTGGCAACTCTCTGTCTTTTCAATAGCAATGGAGTTTTCTGAGGAGAGCATGACTTTAGATTGTTCCTATGAATTTCATTGCTTATTGTCCATTTAGGGACACAGATTCCTGATTCTTGACAAGTAACCATTGGATTTTGTTTAATTTGACACATTATTTTCCTCAAAGATCTTGAAGAAATCTTCCGTGGAGCCAGTGGCGTAGCTAAGGGGGACGAGGGGGCAGACCGCACCGGGTGCCAGCACATGAGGTGTGACACAATGTCACCCCACAACAAAATTTTTCAACCAGGCTAAGGTGCCAAAAATAGTCTGAAAACAGTGGTGGAGACACAGGGTTTCGCAGGCGGGCATATGACCCCCCCAGAAATAATTTATGACCCCCCCAGTTTTTCCTCCCATCAGAAATTTTCTAATAAATTGTCGGGAAATTTGTGAGTAGGAAAAATAGCAATGTTTTCAGCTTTCAGTTGCTACAATCATGGTTACTAACAAGAGACATTGTTGTAACATTTTATCGGATGATATGGTGTTTTAACTCTGCATCATTAATAACAACAAAGTAAAATACGGAGCCAAAAGTGTAACAATTTCAGTCTTGCCTGTGTATCAATTCGCTGAGATACAATTTTCCATTGAGTGAGCGATATACTTTTGAATATATCTACTATTCTTGGGACGATTAATTGGAATCAGAATCAAGAATCAGAAAAATCGGAACTTTTTGAGGTATCGGAAACAGTATCAGAATCGGAAAAATTTGTGCCTATTTTCTGATTCCAAAAACGATTCTTTTAAATTTTTAACTTAATTTTCCATTATTGGTACTAATGATAAATATTTATTGTTTTTAAATTATCACTAAAACATCAAAATATGATGTAAATTTATTTTACTTGTATAAAGAAAAACAAAAAAATAAACCTTGCATAAATTCTCTAGGTAACCTTTAAAAGAATGCAGTTGATTTACAATGTTCCGAAAAATGCTTAAAAATTAAATAGAACATTTTTGTCAAGAAAAATACTTTCAAACATCATTGATAATTAAATGGAATCCAGAAAATGAGACAACGGAAAATTGGACACCGGAAAATTAGCAACAGAAAATTACGTCAACCATGAGCCAGTTGAGACTGTCGGAACTGGCTGTGCTGTCCATTGAAAATGAGCTTACAAGACAAACAGATTTTGACGATGTCATTGACCAGTTTGTCACAATGAAAACAAGAAAACATTCATTCTAAGACCATAGTATCGAATGTCATTCTTTTGTGTATTGCCGTGTTTTGCATTTAGTTGTTCTGAAAGTGAACAGATGCATTTTAAAAATCTTTTGATTTGAACTGATTATTTTGTGATATTGGATTTTGTCTTGGATCATACATGTAAACAGTAACGTACCGGTCAGTAGAGTAAAGTAGAGGTAGAGCATGTATGAAAATTTAGCTACAGCTAACCATTCAGCATAGGATGAATCGGGGTCATTGGGGTGACATTTGAACGGACCGCCCCGGGTGACGTTTACTCTAGCTATGCCACTGCGTGGAGCACCTGTTCTTCTTTGGTTTTCAAGAGTTTTGAGTTTTTTATACCTTGAAATGAATGAACTAATGGTAGTAAATGGAATATTCAGGTTGTCTGAGATTTTCTTGTAACTTTTACCTTCTTTCCAGAGCTTAAGAATCAGTTCTTTTTGTGAATTTGTCAATTCTTTACCTCTTGCCATGATGATAACCTTCTTGCACGAATATCAATTATAGAATGTTCTGTTTGTAATTTTTAGGCTAAAAATGACTACTGATAACATTACTGGAACATTCTAGAATATTCCACTTGAATAACCTAGAGTTTTAAAGCAATTTCATTTTAAATTCTGAAATATTTTTTCACCCATTAAAATGGATAAATGGGATTTATTTCTATTAAATCAATTTTTTCTGTTTTCTATGCATATTTAGTTATTATGCATCTGTGTACAGTTAATTATATGAAAATTATCTTTATTCATTAGTTGGAAATACAATAAATTAAAACTTTGTATGTGTATGAATATTTGTCTTGCCCCACTGTATATACATGTGTGTGTGTGTGTGCATTTAAAAGAAGTGAAAGAAAGAGGAAATGAAAGATTTGAAATGCTAACATGTACACATATCCAAGTAGACCTTAATGAAAAACTTGTCCAAGACTTTAGAGAGAGTTGCAGTCATGGTAGAAGTTGTTGAGGAAAATAAATTAAAGAAAGTAATGAAAATAATTATTTCAAGTTGGGTTTGTAAGTACTCAGGCCAAACATGGGGGATACACAAGTACAGGCTGAAACAATGTCAATAGACAATTGGATATTAAAAAAGCACGCCTGAGGCTATCATTTTAGATAGTAGCAACAATGAGGGGCAAAGAGGTGTACATGAATTTGACAAAATTAATCAGAAATTGGACTTTTTAATAGAAAGAAGGAAAGCAAAAAAAAAATCTGGTTTTTTTTTTCCAGACTGCTATCATCATTTTTATTGTTTTTATACACATTTCAGCCAATATGTTTATCAACCTTTATTGGTTACATAGTGTATTTGCTGGACTTTGGGAATGAAATGGCTGCTAGGCCAAAATGGAATTTGTCTGTGACTTGTACTGTTAATTCTCTGGTAGAAATTTTATCCAAATTTTAGTCATTGTGCATGTATTTATGTTTTGAGCTCTGAAGAGGGAGGAACAATAAGTGGTTCATCCTTTTTTGTGATTTATTTTTTTGTTAGTGTTATATCTTCCAGCTCTTTAAATGAATAATATTTCTTTTATATCCTTTTTTTCCACCTTCTTTGTTGTTTTTTTTTTGTATATATATATATATATATATATATATATATATATATATATATATGAGGCTCATTACAAACATTCACTTTCTGACCATGAGATCTGGGTTTTTATCTCATCATGGACGATTTGTCAGGAAGGAGATTTCCTGATGTTATTGATTTGGAGAGGGGATGATCTCAGCGTGTGGCACCTTTGGAAAGTGCCTGGGAACTATACCATGAGTTGACTCAAGCCATGTGAGTGGAATTGGGTAGATGGAACACATGGGGCCATCAATAACAGTGCTAGCATGAAGTCACAAGTCATTGTGACTGAGGGTTTGAGTGTGCTGGTGTTGTCCAGATTGTTGATCATTCTAGATAACATGCTCTTTCCCAGAAACTGTAACTAAGGTCTTCTCAGTTGCAGAATAAACCACAGGTTGGCTCTGTGGGTGTTGAACAAACACAAATGTGCCTGAGGGAGAGTCTACAATAGGGATTGGCTAGCCACCCTAGTAGATGAGTATCCTCGAATACGAGTGACCAGCTATTATATATATATATATATATATATATATATATATATATATATATATATATATATATACATATATATATATAGGAAAAGATGTATGACAAAGTGAAAAAAGTTTTCTTGTGATGCATTTCATTCTTTAGGACTTCATCAAACTAAATTTGTTATGTTGGTGTGACTACACATGTGCATGTACATGAGGGATGATGGGAATTTAATATTGTTAACAATAAATAACAATATTGTTCTTGATATATAAAAATATATATTGTTATTTCATATGTGAAAAGTGTGTATATAAATATAAATAAATATATATATATATATATATATATATATATATATAATTATTTATATATTATATGCGCGTACTTATCTTTCTATTGTTATTTCATATATATATATTTTGTGTGTATATATATATATATATATATATTTATATATATATGTAAATTTAATATCATTTATTATATATTAGTAGTCCTTTTGACTAAACTGAAGTACAAAAACAACAAAAAACAATTAACCTGTTGCTGCACACTTAAGCCAACCATTCCATAGAATTGATGATATCAGATGCATGCTTTTAGTATCTTCATTTAAGAGCCGACAGTAATAAATATCAACAATACTATTGTCAATGTTGTTATCATTTTGTTGTCTTATTATTCCTCAAATTTCATTAACCAGCCTATTAAATCTGCATATTATAGGAGGCACATGTTGATCATCTTTCATTTAAATTATATATATATATATATATATATATATATATATATATATATATATGAAGAGAGAGAGAGAAAAGTATTTTTAAGCCACTAAGGAAAGGAATACTACATTAATGATGAATGTGACACCCAGTCAGTTTAATCAAGTTCCATCTATTGTCATTAAGGAATCAACCTTTTCTTAACTTTGGTGCTGGCAGGTGTTGAAAAGTTAACAACTCAACTTTTTAAATGCTTTTTTTTATTGATTCTTACTTCTGTGACTGTATTAAAAGAAGTGTTTTTTTTTTTTTCTCAATTGAATGTCGATTTTTTTAAGTTTTTAAATTAAAAAATAACGACATATTCATTATATTATTTTTTAGATACCATGCACATTAGGATTGAGGCAATCATGGTTCTTCTTATATATATCTTCTTTATTAGACATGATATACTATGAATTCTTGAGAATAATGGTAAATTGATTTTCCGGTTCATTTTTCCATACTTTTTAATTAAATGTATTCCTTCTCTTAAAAAAACAATAGAGCCCAGTCTGTTTGACTATTTAACCCATAGATAGAGGAGATGGGATGGATTCATTACTTTCTCAGGGGCATTAGTGTTAAAGTGAAGACAATAGACTCACCTAGAATTTGAGTTTGGCTCACTAATTCTAATTTCTGTACTGACAATCATTACACTAGACATAATCCCAATATATCAATTTTACTGATTCAAATTTGTGCAATACAGAAAATTTCTCATTTTATATGAAAAACAGTATCTTGTAAAGAAGTCTGTTATTTACTAATTAATGCCTCCTATATAACATTCGCCCTTGCATGGAGTATTGCTGCTATATATGGGCTGGAGCACCTTCTGCTTACCTCGGAGTTCTTGACAAGATCCAGAGAAGGATATGTAATCTAATTGGCCCTGATCTAGCGTCTTGTTTGCAGTCACTCTCTCACAGACGCACCGTCGCCTCTCTCTGTCTTTTCTACAAATACTTCCATGGTAACTGCTCTGATGAGCTGCTCTCTCTGGTTCCCAGACTCCATGAATTCAAGCGCCCTACGAGGCTGGCATCCTGTTCTCACCCTTAAACCGTAGAAACCTTCAAATATAGCCATCTCTTCTACTCCAATAGCTTCATACCTTGCACCTCTCGCCAGTGGAACACCCTCCCCAATTACTGTTTCCCTGAAAGCTATAATCTCCAACTATTTAAATGTAATGTCAATCGACATCTCCAATTACCTTGATCTACCCACTATCCTTCTCCTCTTCCTTTCTCCTATCACTCTTATCTGCTCTCGCTCCAAATCTTCCACAACCCCCTGCATCCTAGTGGCTTCACGCCTTGCTTGGGGCACAATGCTTAAAAATAAAAAAATACTATTAAAAAATGTTCTTTTCCTAAGCATGAGACAAGTATGCGTCTTCTCCCTAGATTTATTTAGCCTTTACAGTTATGCTATCTAATAAGTACTGGAGACCCATCCAGGATTTATTATTAGTTGGCATAAACTTAACAATATAAGATGTGCAGGTGATACTGTGTTGATGGCCAACTTGGAAATAAGTCTACAGTACCTTCTAAACAAGGTGGGAGAAGAAAGTTTTATGATATCCTCAGTAAGATTACAGATGGAGACAAAACCAGTTATACCATTTTTGATGGGTAACTTCTTGTAATTTATGAAAATTTGGAATAGGGAATCAGCCTGAGAAATGTGAGATGCTTATTAAAAATTTAGAGATACAAATTTTTCAAAAGTAAAGTAGTCATACACTGATTTTTAAAACTGAAATGAAAGCAAAAAGAAGGTGAAGCAAAAAAAGAAAATCATTTCATAATGGCTCATAAAATCAATAGAGTTAAAGATGTTGCCTTCATACATAAAGTTAAAAAAGAAAAGGATCATACAATAATAGCTTCTGGAGTCAAAAGTTGACTTTAAAGTTGAGATTATGATGGGTTTTCTCAACAGTAAATCAATAAAACATCCTAATAAGGTGATTACTGAATTTCAGGTATTGTATTGCAATACAAAAAGTGGAAGTTACCAAATGAATAACCAAGTTATAGTCCCATAAACAGTTGCTACTGATAATCCACAAATAAAACAATGTTTTCATTTCAAAATATGTGGAAAAGCATCAGGCAAAGGTTGAATAGTAACAGACCTTTAAACAAATTTAGAATTCAACAAAGGATTAGCTCTAAACCCTGAAATAAAGTGACATGCCATTTCCTGCTTTCCTAATTGTTGGAATCCTCTTCTGTAGTTCCATATATATATATATATATATATATGCCTATGTTTCTGAGATGAGGTATTGCAATTATTTTTACTATTTACATTGTTCGAACTATTGTCCTCATCTTGGTTGCCATATTCACTATTCACGTTTCAACCATTGTATGCTCCGGTCTTCTTCAGATGATTGGAATTTCAAACAAAACCCTCTCTTTCTTGTCCCACATGCCATGCCACTTCTAGATATTTCAATATCAATTATCTCCCTTTAACTCAACTCCCAGGTATTGAACTCACAACTCTTTGGGTTAAGTCACTGGATTCAACCAACACTTTTATCCACTGGGCCATGTATCCTTGAGGACGTCAATGTATGAATTTTAGAAATTTATAAACCTAATATCTCAGGAAACATTTATTACCTGAGCTCATATTACAATTTGTTGTTATTATTGTTTTTCTCTAGCACTCAGTATTACTGGTTCCCATATTGTATTCATGGCCACCTTAGATTTTTGTGGCCTAGCATATGTGCGGAATCCTTAAGTTTTTGTATTTTCTAGTGATGCTCTCTGTCTCTTATTTCAATCTCATCCCACAGGTGGTGGTGATCTCCTTTTTCCCTCCATATGTGGTCAGCTACACCTGATTTTTCTATTTCCCCTCATGTTATGGCTTTACAGAGTTCCTGCAGTCTTAACTTAAATGGACAGCCTGTTTCTCCTTTATATTTCTTACCACAGATGCATGGGATCGTATACACACAGTCCTTAATCATGTTATCATCAATGGGAGGTCTTACTCAGAAAATGTGTCTGTGAAGTGTTGAACCACTTTTAAGGGTCATCCTGATATTATGTGGACCACAGATATTTTGTATTTTTTCTGATA